TGGGAGTGGCTGGCTCATTACAGAAGCAGCTTTTCCTCTCCGGGAATTGACACCTCCTCATCTATTATTGGGAGTGGACTACATCCACCCTGATTGAATTGGCCCTGTCAACACTGGTTCTCCACTTGCGAAGTAACTCCCTGCTCTCCATGTGTCAGTATATAATGCCTGCATCTGTAACTTTCACTCTATGCATCCGAAGAAGTGAGGTTTTTACCCACGAAAGCTTATGCCCAAATAAATCTGTTAGTCTTTAAGGTGCCACCAGACTCCTTGTTGTTTTTTAAGAGGGAGGGAGTTTGGCCCGTGCCCCCTCCTGCACTCCAAACCCCTTGTGACCATTCCTCCGCCTAGGAGTAGCGGGGACATGTCGCTGCTTCCGTGCAGCCATGCGGAGCCAGTTAGGGAGCCTGCCAGCCCTGTGCCAGCCGGACTGCCAATGGAGATCAAAAATGCCGGTTTATAGAGCGTTCCAGCTAGTAAAGTGCTGGATAACACAGCTTTTACTGTATTCAAGAACTGGCTTCTCTTCAAAAGGCTAATTTTCCTTTCAATTTTCACTTGTTTGTCCTCTTTCATTTTTGTCTCGTCTTCACTAATCCCTTTCCTCATTTTTAGTAGTCCTCCTAAATAAAGTGCATTTTTCTTTCCAACTCCTCATACATTATGTCATACTACCTACATGCAATACTAAATGTTATACACTGACTCTATTCCAGTTACACACTTAGAGAATGCTGATATATTGTACCTAATCCAGGCAGATCTTCAATAATTTCCACAAAGTTCAAGGGGAAAATTCCAGATGTGCCTTTCAGCTCTCCACTGGCCCATTCTTCATTTACATATTCCTTAAGAAGAATAATTTCACCTTCTGAAAAACTTAGCTCATCTTTCTGGTCTCCGATATATTCAAACCGAGCTACGCATCTCGGGCCCCTGCACAAACAAAAGAATGAGTTGGCTTTACATATTAATTTTAATATTTTTGTCATTTCACTTCTTGTGGGCATTACACAGCCAGAACAAATTGCATACCCACAATAGTTATCATGAAGCAAAATCCACCATATTTATATCTTTCTGGCCAAGATGGTTAAAAATGGGGGCCTAAAGGTTGTACTGAGACAGCACAAAGCAGGCAGAAAGCTGCCCTAAACTGGTACAAACTATCCATAGGCCTAGCTCTCCAATATCCAGTCCCTGCCTCTCAGTAGGGTGTATGTCGAGTGGGGAGTAGCAGGCTCTAGGATGCCAGGAGTGGGAGGGAGTGAGGCAGCATGTGCAGTGCTGTGGCTGATCCCTAGCTGGCACCTTGGTCCTGGAGAGCTGCTTTCAATTGCATCAGGTCTCTTTTCCTGGCTGGCCTGCCCAGGATCAGAGGTTTGGAAAGCTGACTCGAAGCCACCCTGCCCCTGTCCGCTCATATTTTGCACAGTTAAGAAGCTGGCCAATAGAATATTTCCAAGTTAAGAAATACACAAAAAAGGAAAAGTAATGCTGTCTTATTCTGCTGAAGCCACATTAAAAAAAAAAAAAAAAAAAAAAACCCACAAAAATCTGAGCAACATAGGCTTTTAAAATATTTTTTATAGCTGGACGGCCTGTAGTCAATCTTCAGTGGAGGGGACGGGGCGGGGGGGACACATCAGCAATGGCTGCAATCACATTTTTATTTAGTCTGTTTGATAGATGAGTCACTGTGAAATGCTAGTTTAAATAGTATAGCAAGATTCACACGCCGCCTCCCCCCAAAACCTTGAAAATGCAGCATGATGTTTTGTAGCAGAGAAGACAATTTTCCTCTATTGGGACAAGCTTTATTTTTCCATGGTGGATTTCAGAAAATATAAACTCTTAATGTAGAAAAAAAAAAAATCAATGCCCCTGACAGCTTTACAATTTACAGCAAGATACCACACACTGAATTCAATTTTTTTCATTTAACTGGAACATAAAGTTGCTGTGTAGCAATATTTAAATCACTGAATGCACCAATTATTTATCATTTAATACCACCCCCAGAAATACAGGGTGAAGCAGGCTGTGACCCTAAGAGCTCCCCCATGCCAAACTGCATTCTGTTGTCATGCTATTTTCCCAAAAGGTAGCATGTAATATATCACTGGAAAACTAATAACTCGCTGATCATTAATATTCTTGCACAATGGAATATATAGTTAACCCACAAAGAACTGTAAAGATGTACTGGAAATATGTGACTAAAATGTGTTTAAACCAGGGATGTCAGGGAGAATTCATAAACAGGTTTTCTCCAGACAAAGGAAAGCGGCCAACATCTCAGATCAGGTGTGGCCAAATTCAATGGGCTAGTCACTTGTTTCAGAGGTTGCAGGAGGGGATAATTTGCGTTTTAAAAATCACCAGCAAGGGAGGAACCAGCACAGAATCTACACCAGACAGCATGGTGTCCACACCCAGCAGGGGAAAGGAACTTTATCTGAGGATACACTTCAAAATAATACATTTCAAAGGTTTACTGGACTATAAGGAGGGGAGTGAACTCCTTAGTTATCCTTCACCTTAGGAATGAAAGAAACCAAGCGCTTTCAGCTCCATGTGTTGGGTCCTGGCTAAAGGTCTAGCCAGCCATGCAGGAAGAAAGACTATGGTGAGAAAAACCGCTTTGAAGAAAAGACACTAGTATATTAAGTAGTTTTAGACTTAGAAGCATATTTTATTTTGTTTGTAACCATTTCTACCCTGATTCCTAATATTTGGTATCAACTAAATCTGTGCCCTTTTGTCAACAAACCTGTTTTGCTTATACCATACACCAACTCAATGCTTTGATTGAAATAGACTGTTGGTTAGCCCCATTGAACGTAATAAGCTACTGTGTACTGTCTTGTTAAAGGACCAGCGAACTTGTTTTTGTGAGTGTTGCAGAAAGACGTCTCTGAGGAACTTGGGAATGGGGTTCACTGATTGTTACCTGCGAGACAGGGTTTGGACTGGCAGAATCCTAAAAAGTTTGCTGGCAAGGCACACAAGCCAGTGTGTCGGAGAGCTGACACATAGCAAGTGGGAACTTTGCTGCTGCTACGCTGAGTCTGAGAGGGGCAACACAGAAACTCACAGTTTTGGGAACCCCAGCAGATTGTCACACAGGTGTAAAAAGGAATCCCTGCCCACTCCCCATCTCTTTCTGTGACATCATTTGAACCCTGATCACATATTGGTCACCCTTCTTCATAATTCTAAATTTTTCAGTTTATTTTGCTAAAAGTTAGTAGTTGTTTTTTTAAGAGGGTGATATGGAGGGACTTTTAAAATCAGATTGCTACTGTTGATCTTTTCTAGTGACTTTCAAAGCTACCAGAAAAGTGGAGTTTGAATAGTTCTACTATTAATTTGAAATTATTATTATTTTTTTAACTTTACCTTTAAGGGAAAGGCTCAGACTGTTTTGTGTAACCCACCTCTGCTTCATTTTGTTTTTTACTTTGGAAGTGAACAATCATGTAAGTCAACAAACTAGCACTGTCCAAAAATGATATTATGGAATGCAACTGAAATCAAGTTGTATCCATTTGCACCAGGAATGATACTGCCTCTCGTAGTCTCTCTGTATCAAAATAAGTCTATAATAATTGATCATGTGAGGTGCTGAGCACATACAATTAATGGGAATGGTAGGTGCACAGACCCTCTCAGCATCAAGCCCTAGAAATAGCTCTTCTCAGTATCTCAAAAAAGCAGATTTAAAAAATGATTTATTTCAAAGTCAATATCAGCTGCCATTTCTTAAATCCGTGAAGTTCAGTCTGTTGTTTATATTCCAGCCAAAAATAAAATTGCATTGTTTTTAGTCATCTTTTAGGAATATTTGTTCTATTTAACAGTAATTAGTGCTTAATTTCATATGAATGAGACAAAAAATAGAAATATTCTTATTCAAATATTCCTAGTTTGCAAAAATTAAACACAATAAACTAAAATATTCGTGCATCAGTTTGACTAAATTAACGCTAATGCCTCTGTAAATCTGAAGTAAACATAATCTTTCTGCTTATTTGTTTTTCATATACGTCAAGATGAAAAAGAGAGCAAAAATGTGTATGAAACTCACTTAATACATGGTGATGAAAACAATACTTTTTTCCTGTTCTCTTCCTCTGGAACATCAATCTAATAATGAGAAGACCAAAAAACAAAACACAATAAAAAACAATACACAATCAATCTTAAAATTATAGTGGCACAAATTTAGCATATTTAATGTCAAAATTAGAATATTCTCTATTCAAATTAGTTAATTACATTGCAGTTTCAGCTGCAGATGCCACACATAGGGTGACCAGATGTCCTGATTTTATAGGGACAGTCCCAATATTTGGGGCTTTGTCTTATATAGACATGTATTATCTCTCACCCCCGTCCCAATTTTTCACACTTGCTATCTGGTCACCCTATCCACATGGCACTACATAATCACTGGAATGTTCTGATCATTGGCTACATTGGGGGTGGGTGGGTGCTGTTTTGGCATAATCACTTAACTCTTTGATGCCAGGGGCCCATCATCATTGCTATTCAACATTATGGAAAGAAACAACAACGTTTCATAATTTACATTACTAACTGTGTGTTTTAATAGCAACAGTCCTCTTTGTTGACTGGCAGAAAATGGAATTGGACGCTACTACACACTGTTGCTTTTGGCTCCAGGCTCATAATTGATATTGCAATCTATTATCTGCTAGTGCAATTCACAATAGTCAAGATTACTGTTTAGAAATATCCATTCCGGGCTTTGATCATCCAGATTTTGCCATCTGTACCCCAAATAAACAAACAAACACGTCTCAAATTGTTCTTCAGTCTGCATGCAAAGACAGAATGTAAAAAAAGAGGTTAAGTGTCACCAAAAGCCCTCTTCCTTATCCCATTTGGAGCTGTAGGCTGTGCACTAAGGGACCCTGCATGTGTACGGTTTTAAGTTTTTATTTAAAAATATCATCACAGTCATCATCTCATCTCTTATCACACAAGAGAGCTGCAAAATATGCAGCATGGCCTAGTGGACTAAACATAAGATTGGGAGTCTAAAGACCTTGTTTGTAGTCCTGGTTCGGTCACTACTCACTGAGGGCCTGACCCAAGTCCCTCACTAATCAATGGGAGTCTTTTCATTGAACATCTGTGGGTGCTGGATTGGGCCATGCTTTACTTTGGGATAATGCCTACCTGACAAGGGCATCACGGGGATTAATTAGTTAATGTTTGAAGTGTACCATAGATGCTAAGTATTATTATTTGATGCCTAGACCTCATGCTGATATCCAGCTTAACATTATGAGCTAGAGATAGAATTGGCCCTTGTATCAGTACTGAATCTCTGGGCCCCAATGAGCTGATTATCTCTATTAACTGTTTTTTTTATAAAGTGTTCTTTCTTCCCAACAGATTTTTTTAAATTTCAAAACTGTAAAGAAAGTATTTTAGTGCTAAAAGAGTTCAATTCATTTTTAAAAATAAAATAAACTTTCAAAATTAAATATTAGTATGTAAGAATCATTCCTGGGTACACAGAAAAAATTAAAATGAGAGCAGCTCAGGAACACGTTCCTAGGTTCATTTCCCCCTTATTTATTAGCTACTGGATCCCACAGTATATTGTCTAACAATTCCAGTATTGTCTGACAGAGTGAGCCAAATGCAGGCCTGGCGCAGCTCCACTGACTTTGGACTTGTCTATACGGGGCCCCAGTGCAAATTAGAGGAGCATGAGTACTCTAACTGCTCCAAGTAGACCCCACTGACACAAACTAAAAGGTACCTAGTTCATGTTAACATAATCTTGTTTCAAACAAGATTGTGCATGTTTACACCTGTGCTGAATTTGGCCCATGATGCTCACTCCACTGTTTTAAAACAGAATAAAACTTTGTTTTAAAAATTAGCCATCAATAGAAATCAAATTGTGAATTACATAATGTTTGTTTGGAAACATGAAGAAGGTGAAGGGTGCAGTCTATTTACCTAACAAATTTCAGTATTAGTCCTGTGTGGGTGTAACACCCCCACCCATTCTCACTATTCCTAACTATGACAATATTTATCATTCAGTAATGGTATTGAGCATATTAAAACTCACTAACCTAAACCGTTAAAAAACGGAATCAGAGTCTCTTGTGTACAACTCCCTCACGATGGTTAGAAAATACCTAAAGTTATTAATGTAGCAGCAGTTCCAAAAGTAAGTTGTGCATGTGTAACTTAAGGTGTGATTTTAACCCCATTTAGTTAAACCAGTGTAAAAAACTGTATGATCATGGTGAACACTGTATGAACATTTTGGACTAGTTAAAGTTGATTCCTAATGGACTTGAGCTAAACCAAAATCACCATGTCCACAAAGCCTTTGGCACCATTTTAACTAAACTGGTTTAAAATCACATCTTAAGTAGCCACATAAATAAGCCCACAGAAATGTGACATTGCTTGCCCTAGGTCACATATTGAGACAATGGCAGGGCTGGGAATGAAATCCAGATCTCTTGACTTCCTTGATCAGTACACTTGTCCACCGGATGACTGAAAAGATACATAAATGAAGTGGAAGTTTCTATGCTACTATCAGTAGGCCCTGGTCTACACTACAAACTTATGTTGGTATAACTACATCTCTGAGGGCTTGTCTATACTACCCGCTGGATGAGCGGGCAGCGATCGAGCCAGCGGGGGTCGATTTATCACGTCTAGTCTAGATGCAATAAATCGACTGCCGAGCGCTCTCCCGTTGACTCCCGTACTTCACCGGAGCAAGAGGTGCAGGCGGAGTCGACGGGAGAGCGTCAGCAGTCAAGTCACCGCAGTGAAGACACCGCAGTGAGTAGATCTAAGTACATAGACTTCAGCTACGTTATTCACGTAGCTGAAGTTGCATAACTTAGATCGATTCCCTTCCCAGTGTAGACCAGGCCTGAGTGGTGTGGAAAATCCCCTGAGCAACGTAGTTATACCCACCTAACTCCCAGTGTACACAGCGCTATGTCAACAGAAGGGCTTCTCCCATCAACATAACTGCCACCTCTCAGGGCGGTTGAGTACCTACGCTGATAGAAGAAGCTCTCTTGTTGGCACAGGTAGCATCTTCACTAAGTGCCACAGCGACCCAGCCACTTCAGCGCTGTAATTGTAGACAAGTCCTTAGAAAAACTGTGTCTGTTATGTCCTGTGTCTCAGATTCCCTTATCCAGGTCTCTTTGCATTGTGCAGGCTATCCTGTAAAAATTAGCAGCCATGGTGTTATCTCCTCAATACTTCCTCACCACTGGTTTGATTACCCTTATTGTATAAAGTGATCCTTCCTTTTAGGAGTTCTAATTTGTTTTCTTTTAGGAGCTTTTTTATTGGTGACTTGTAGCATTCAAGAGGTTTTGTTTTTCCAAAATAAAACTTGCCTGCTGCAATTTTTAAAACATACTTCAATATCAACATACCATGTCAGTGTGCACATCTTGGGAGGGTTGAAGGCATCCCAATACTCTCAAACAATTTAATGCAAATCCTTGATGGGACTTCTTGCTTAAGTGTAGCTTAAGTGCAGCTTCTTGCTTATGTGTAGCCGTTTAAAATAATCTGCTCTGTAACACCAGGGAAACTCCCATGGGAATTTGCCCAGATGAAACAGAACAGAATCTGGTCGGGGTGATTTATGAGCATTTCTTAAGTAACAGCTGCAATTCTCTCACTTGACTTTAAATTAACATGAGAATCATACCTATAATGGTTGGGCAGAGTTGCAAGATTAAGTAGATTTCTAATATCACACAAAAACCTGATCTCTCTTCTGTGCACTGATGCAAAATTTACCTAGATAACAAGTGGAATAAAATGCACAGGAGAGAAGGTAAATTAGGCCTTGATCATGAACATGAGTGGAACACACTATATTTCAATGGAAATGGGCTACATACAATCACTTTAACGAAGTTGGCAGGAAATATCCCTGTGCGATTCCCGAGTTTTCCTCTGTACCACTCATTATCTATTTTCTCCAGAAGATAAACAGTCTCTCCAGAATGGAGGTCCAAATCATCAGCATGCTCTGTAAGACAGCATCATTTCAGTTACAGTCAGTGTCAAATGCAGTGAATTTCTCTAAATAAAAGCTTATTAAATATACACCATACCCAAAAGTTGAATCAGTTTTAAAAAAAGTCTTTATTAACATGGGTATACGGTTTGACATGTAAGCTTTAACTCAAAATTGGTCTGAGCTAAAACCATGAAACAGAACATGCACACATTCAGGATAAGTTTGGATCCAAACTTAGCAACTTGGGCCCTGCAATTGTACCACATTTCAAATTCCTGTGAAAATCAAAATGCTACATGCCCTTTAAACCTCAGTGTTCCAAAGAACAGAAGAAAAGTTTTGACTATTTTCTTCTCTGCTTTGGAAGCACATTTTACGCTATTAGTCAAACTATACACTTATTAGTATTATTTATGTGCACTCACCTGCTGGAAAATCATGCAGCACTACAGCATGGGGAGCACTTTTGTCAGAAACCCTCTGAATATTGTTTGAATCCTTACAAAAAACACAAGCAATTTAGAAATTATGAAAGATATTAACATGAACATTCTATTATTGATTCTGAAAGATATTTTTGCTTTTGGACACAATTCCATCATGCATGTATGATTCCAAATTGCCACCTTTAAAGAAAGGAATTATTATTATGCATAAATTAATGGGCCTGATTCTTCTCTCACTTATACTGGTTTAAATCAAAAGTAATTCCATTGAATGCAGTCACCCAGGTGTAGAACCAATTTAAATGAGAGGAAAAATGATGCAGTGTATTCATATTCATATCCACTACCTCTTATCCGACTATTACAACAATTTTGAGTTTTGCAGCACACTCTGAAGACTTTTGCCATGTTATTCTGATGATACCTCCTTTATACCCCTTAAAACCTCTATAGCCCTTTTCTGTCATAGTAATGACTCTCACAGTAACTTTTCCTTCTTCCGGGAACACCAGACTTTGCTGGTTGATGGCACTTATATCTTCCCCCCCTTTTTGTTTTTGGCCATCAGCTATGTCATCTCCATAACATATTTGGCTCATGAAGTGTTAATCTAGAGGTTTTTCTACATTGTAGTGCAAATAAAGATACTGATAAGATTTGGTTGGGGCTGTGCATGATATTCAATGTAAAACTAAACATAGATATTAAATTTCAACATTTGCAGTTTTTTGAGTTTGCAGATTCTGTGAACATGTGAGGTTTCACATGAACATTATTATATTAGTGAAATTTTGGTTAAGTTGGGGGTGCATTTTTACATTAACTAGTTCCTTTTCTACACTAGGAAAATTTTCTAAAAAATTTCTCACTCTTTCTAACATCAGTTCGGCTGAACAAATTTTAGCAACATTGTGTGCCCTAGTATAGATGGGATATCAGCTGTCCACATATTAAACATCACATCAATTATGCTCAGAGCTGTTGTGGGGATATATATATATAAAAATGAAGTTTCCCTAGGGCAGACAAAATGTTTTCATGCATTTTGAAACGCTGATGAATTTTGATCTGGGATTGGCTGCATGGTTAAAGTCAAATAGCTGTAGTCATATGATATTCCTGCTGGTTTCCTGATTGGCTAAGCATCCCTAGGTGCTTGAATCAGGGTCAGCAGAAGTCATTCTGACTTATTTTCTCAGGGCTTGTCTACAGTGCAGCATTCAACTAGTTGCACTTCAGTTGTTTGTATTGCACCAACTTGAAGCACCAGTGATTGAGTGTCTCCATACTAGTCACTCTCAACCATTTTAAGGTTTGCCCTTAAGTCCAACACTAAATCAGCCCTAAACCGATTAGAGTGGGCTATCAAAAATTCATTCATAAATTTCATAGATTTTAAGGCCAGAAGGAGCCATTGTGACAGTCTGACCTCCAGCATTCAAAGCTGGCAAACCTTAGTCCACCAGCTGAGAGCCCCCATTCTGCCCTTTCAGCAATGAGCCCCATGTTAGCCCTGCCTACTCAGTCATACCTCCACAGTGCAGGTCCTCACATAGTGATCTAGCCGTGGATTGCAAACTGAGACTACCTCAGCCTACCTGTGATTCATCAGAGTGAGATCATCAGCTAGTAGCCGATCAGTGGTTCACTAATTAAGGAGCAGTACATTGCTGGAGGGATGTGCATATATAGAAGTTGGGGGGAGCATGCCTTAGAAAAGCATGGCTGGGGTAGGGGGGAGATTCCATAGTAGGGGGTATCACAACAGAGAGAGAGAGCACAGTCTCAGCTGATGATCCAAAAATGTTGGGAGACTGGCTTTTCTGAGTAGATTGGGGTAAGTTTATAGGGGAAATATCACAAAAACTGCATATTAATCTACCTCCTACCCGCTGGGAGAAGGATTTCAACTCGATACCTTGGCTGATGAAGTGAGGGATGATGAATAATTGCTTTGTTTGAATGTAATTCAATGCAATACAAAGAGTACATAATATGAACACAGTGCAAAAACTGAGCAATGTGAATTACAATGTACTGGAAATAAATGTATTCTTAATATGTATTAAAAAAGAAATGCACATGTTTGATAAAATCAATGTGCTGCTGAGAGCTTGGAGTTGCTATTCTTATTATTAATCATATTACCACCGTTGTGCCCTGAAACGTGCTAAGCACTGTACAAATGCATAGCAAAGCACGATCCCTGCACAGACGAGTTTACCATCTAAAAAGATTTAATTAATTCTTAATGTTTACCTTTTGCTTGCTTGTCAGATGCTCATCTAGGCGGGTGATTATCTTCATATGAGACAAGTGCACTTTGCCGGTTTCCCCTCCCTTTTGGCACTTGAAGTAATTGCTGTCGATCTGCTCCAGCAGCACAAGAACATCCCCATGCTTTAAGGTACGGCAACATTTTTTGAAACCAAGAGATTTAATAAACCAATATTACATTTTTCAGAGTGTAACCTTTAAAGCTTAAGGCAGTTGGTGCTTTAACATAATAAACGACTAATGATTTAGTGTGTACCTGCAGGGGGAGGGGGGGGGGGGGGAGAATGAATTTCTTTTACCTTGCAGCCGAGTTCTCCAGGGTTTCTAGGAGAGAAATCTTCCTTGGCAATTCCATGAGGCACAGGCAGCTTAAACAGAAATCCAGACAAATTATTCACAAATCAAATGAACTCTCACACTCTAAACACCTGAAATTCATGCTACAAGAGCCTGTACAGTGATGCAACGTAATATAGATACATCCACCTTTCCCTCCTATGTGTTTTGGCCACTGGACAAACAATTTAGGAAGAGATTTTCAAAGGTTTGTTGTTGTTGTTGTTATTTTATTAAAGAAAATGGGTATTTAGCACTTAACTGTCATTTGTGCCTTTGAAAAATATCACCTATACAATTCAAGTCAGAGTTTAAAACCAGCTAAGGGTGCACAGAGGGGACAAGAGGCCTTTCCCTTATCTCAGTCCTTGCTCACCCCACAGTGTAGCTTCCATTTCCTCCTAGCACCCCAGGTTCGTTCACAAGACACCCAAAGACTGTGGAGAAGGAGGCAGAGCTATTTTATATATAAACACCCCCCCCCCCCCCCGCACGGAAATATGCTGAAGGTGAAGAGCAGCAGACTCCTCCCTCACAATAAAGCACCTTATACTCTGTACTGGAAACAGCTCTATCCTATATGCAAAAGCCAGGCACAATATCTCCACTCTCACCATGTATTTATTGTAGAGAGTGTGCCCTGGTTTAGGTCGAGGCGGTAATGCTGGGTCTTGATTTTTTAAAACTTGACTCTTTGCTCTCTTGACTCCCATTCCAAACATGTCATGTCTTTTATGGAGTGTCAGGTCAGACGAGGATCGGCAAAAAGGGTCCTTTTGGGAAGAGGTCTTGGTTCCAGAGTGTTTTGGTGGAGGTGGCCTTCCAGGAATGCCTTTAGGTGGAGGCAGTCGAGCTGGTACAACTTTTCCATCCACAGGCCTAGAGATTGGTTGAATGATGAAAGAAGTGTGCATTTTAAACGAGCATATATACCCCCCTAATCTCTGAGACAGCCACACAGCATTCAATAGGGAAATACGATTAATTGAAACAGGAAGAACAATACAGTAGAATCTGGATTATTTGAAGCTCTCTGGAAACACCTGAAACCTTTGGATAACTGGGGGAATTAAATAATCAAGGAAGCCTTCTCAGTAGGGTTCCTTGACTGCAGATTTCAAATCCTGCTGGCCAGTTCCAATTACAGGGAGCTGGCTGGCTGGCTTCCGTAGGGCCCTCTAACTCGGTAAGACTTCAGCCAGGCCACCTACCATTAAAGAGCTTTGTCCAGAGCTGAAGTGCTTTGAATGAGGTGCTTTAGCTGAAGACCTGCTGGTTCTCCTGGACTTAGGAAATCAGTCTGGCTCATTTCTTGGGATTTCACTTATCTGAAACATCCTGTCATGTGAACTGAATCATGCCACCAGCTAAACTGATGGGACAAGACCCTAGTTTGGATAACAGGCATCATCAGATTAATGGAACCATTTGCCACTTTTGTGAAATGAGATTATTCTGTACAGAAAGCTACATTCAGAATGTCCAGGCTTCCTGGTTAAGTTCTAAGTATAAATTTTCAAAAGTGCCCAAGTGACTTAGGACCCTAAGTCCCATTGACTGTCTATAGGACTCAAACTTCTAAGTAACTTGTACGCTTGAAAAGGTACCACTACAAACACTGGTAAAAAAGAGCTAAAAAATGGTGCTGCTTGTACTGTGTATTCACGGAGTGTGATTTTCAAAGGCTAAGAATGTGGCCAAATCAATAACTTGTGTACTCAAAGGTACCTCTCTTCTAAATAAGGACTGCTTTCCTGTCAAATTTCAGCTTTGTATCCCTAACTGGATAGGTACTAACGCTGTCCAAAAACAGGATGTGTGGTTTTTTTTTTTAAATAATCTTTATGCAACCTTGAATATAGTGACCAGATATTATAAACACCACAATATTACATGTTTCCTCTACAATTTACTCTGGCATTTTATAAGAGGTTCATTAGTTCAACACAAACAAGTATTCACTAGCATGAGTTCTCAAAAGGTCGTAATAACAATAAGCCAGAACAAGGTATGTATTAATAGGCTTTTGGCCTGTGCATCTGGTGTTTTCAGCAAGTGCCTTCAACCACTCGAGAAGAGTATTAATAAGCTTATTAATGCACCCACCACGTGTTCCTTATAGCTATTACAATATGGGCTCTAGTCAATACACAGTTTTGTGAGGATTTATGCCAGATATCGTTCCATTATGAAAAAAGCCTTCTAAAAGAGTAAGTGAACATGGTAGGAAAATGGTTATATACATCTTTTCTCAACTATTTTGAATATATTTATTCTAACCCTTTCTCTTTTTTCAGAATTTCTTGGACCTTCACCTCCCTATTCCTTTCCTTCAGAAACCCAGCTGTCATTTCAGCACCAGTTAATGTTCCTATAGCCCCCTTCAACTCACTTTTGCTTAAAAAATAAAAAAAAAAAGTGAATGAGAGAAATCTGTTCATCTATGTTCTGTTCCCCACCCCCCCTCCATCCCTAACCTCCTTCCAAATAAGCATTTTAATCTAAAATGACAAAAACAAAATTAGGATTGTTCCAAAACTGAACCACAAAAATAACCAGATTTTCAGTCCACTTTTTGTGAGGAGATATTATCAAATATCTAGCCTAAGAGATCTCATGTCTGGAAAATCACAGGGTTGTTATTAATCATAGGTCTTCTGTGAACTTGAGCAGAAAGGGAGGGGACAGAATTTCTATCTATTGGGTTCACAGAGAACATAAGGGAGAGGTCCAGAGTTATCTAAAACTAAATAAAGGCAAAAAGTGATACACATATAAAGAGAAACAATGAGTCATCTCATTTGCTCTCAAGGCAACTCTTCTTATAATCACTCCAACATTAGGAGATGCACTTAAACTTTCATAACAGAAATAGAGCTTTATTGTCATGATACCCTAAGCAGAGTAAATTCAGTTCCAGGATCAGCTCAAGCCTCCTGATACAGGAAGAGGGAGAGGGTGATACAGTAAAACTTTGTGCTTTGGTACACAGCCAACTATAAAATCCATACATAGATATCAGTGCCTAGGTGGCATGGGCTTATCAGCAGATTTTCTACGACCCACCAATCTGTCCCTGACAGTCAGTGGAGCCCTGGTCCAAGGCTGGCCTACTTCCTTTTGCCTGTGGGTGCTACTCCTCTTCCTGTTGCTGAAGGGGATAGGGAGGCTGTAATTCCTCCCACAGTTCCACTAGGGTCTCGGGACTGAAGAGTAAGCAAACACTGGAGGTACTGTACATCAGTAGTTCTCAAAACCGGTCCACCACTTGTTCAGGGAAAGCCCCTGGTGGGCTGGGCCGGTTTGTTTACCTGCTGGGTCTGCAGGTTCAGCCGATCACTCCCGTTGGCCGCGGTTCGCTGCTCCAGGCCAATGGGGGCTGCAGGAAGGGCAGTCAGCACATCCCTTGGCCCGCGCCGCTTCCCGCAGCCCCCATTGGCCTGGAGCGGCGAACCGCGGCCAGTGGGAGCGGCAATCGGCCGAACCTGCGGACACAGCAGGTAAACAAACCAGCCCGGCCCACCAGGGGCTTTCCCTGAACAAGCGGCGGACCAGCTTTGAGAATCACTGCTGCACATAACGCATCTAGAGCTTTAGAGCTGACCTGACACCTTTCCTCTTCAGCAACAATTCCTAGAAGGGCAACTGCCCCCTCTTTGCTCCCACAGCCCAAGCCCCGCCACAAGAGCAAGTGAAGATAGCTGTTGATGATCTTTTCTGTGGAGGAGAGGATGGTCTCCAGCTCTATCTGCTTTCAGTTATGGGCCAAGAGGCTAAAGCTGAGGCTAGGTCTACACTACCCGCCTGAATCGGCGGGTAGAAATCGACCTCTCGGGGATCGAATTATCGCGTCTCATCAGGACGCGACAATCGATCCCCGAATCGACGCTCTTACTCCACCAGCGAAGGTGGGAGTAAGTGCCGTCGACGGGAAGCCGCAGAGGTCGATTTTGCCGCCGTCCCTACAGCGGGATAAGTCGGCTGCGATACGTTGAATTCAGCTACGCTATTCGCGTAGCTGAATTTGCGTATCTTAAATCGACCCCCCCGTAGTGAAGACGTAGCCTGAGAGAACAGAGTGGCAGTCAAACAATAAGAGAAGAGCTGAGTTGCAATCTTTCTAAAGAAAAAAGAACAGGAGTACTTGTGGCACCTTAGAGACTAACAAATTTATTAGAGCATAAGCTTTCGTGGGCTACAAAGGCCTCTCTTCTCCACCATACCAATTAGCCACAATGTGGTGTGCATTAGTTGGCTATTGGTGCATGCCTAATTATTAGTGATTATATCAAAAGCACAACTTACTCAAGCCTACTGTCTTAATAATATACAGTTGATAAGTATGCATACTAGACCGACTAAGCAAACCAACCCAGTAGCTAATCTCAGTCCCCTGAAATTGCTACTTAGAAATTCTACTCACCTAGGGGGCAGCACAGGCTCTGTCCAAGAAGTACCTGTTGGATCTGAATGTTCAGATTCCTACAAGAACACAAAAATGCGATTTCAGTTTATGTAAGAAACATTAACAGGTTTCTGTTTAAAAAGATGCCTTTCTTATTTAAATTATACTAAACAGAGAAGAACTTCAAATCAGAGGCCAAAAGAAGTCCACCAACAGGAACTTTTTAGGGCAATGCTGTAAAGAATATATTAATAGGAGTCATGGGATGAATTTAAGAGGAGGAAAATTTAGGCTGAATATCAGGAAAACTGTAAATATGGTAACTCTTAGCTTGAGGGATAATATTTCTCTCTCAAAAAAATGTGGTGGGAGCACCATCACTGCGGACATATAAAAAGTCGACTGAACAATGCACTAGAAAAAATATTGTATGGAAGAAACCTGCACTGGCAGGGGATGGACTAGATCAGAATTGTGTTTTCTCTTGCAGTTACTTGACTCTTCTACATTCTCTTTCAGACAATGGCTCTCTTTGCCATGCAGCTAATGGGGTGATCATGTCATCCATGGTGGTGAGCATTTCTTCTTCTTAATAATTATTGGTATTACCATAGTGTGTAGGACCCCTAGTCATGGACCTGGACCCCATTGTGCTAGGTGTTTTACAAACACATAATAAAGACACAGTCTCTGCCCCAAAGAGCTTACAATCTAAGTGTAAGACAACAGACAAGAGAGGGATGCAGACCGATGGGGGAATACAAGGAAACAATGAGTCTATTAATATTGGTCAGCATGATGGTCAGCCTAACTGTTGTCAAGTTTTTTGTAGACATCACGGCAAATGATAGTTTTAAGGAGGGATTTGAAGGAGGATAATGAGTTAGTTTTTCAGGTGTTTATGGGGAGCTACTGCGAAGTGTGAGGGGCAGCATGAGAGAAGCACAAAGGTACTTGTTTGAAAATTTATCAAATGGGTGATGGAGGCTAGCATCATGGCCTGATCGAAGGCAGGAGTTGACTTTTCAATACTGAATGAGAGATAATAGGCAGGGTGGGGATAGGTGGTGAAGGGCCTTGAAAGTGAAGACAAGTAGCTTAGATTTGATAGGATAGAGAAGGGGGTGCCCGAGGAGGGATGCAAAGAGAGGGATGACACAGTCAAAGCGATGGGCTAGGAAAGTGATTTTGCAGCAGCATTCTGAATGGATATGAGCAGTGCAAGACTGTATTTGTCAAGGCCAGAAAGAAGGATGTTGCAGCAATTGAGATGTGAAATGGTGAGAGCCTGGACAAGAGTTTTAGCTGTGTGGATGAATATGAAAGGCCGTATCTTAGAGACGTTTTGCAGAAAGAATCTGCAAAACTTAGACATAGCCTGGATGTGAGCACCTCAAGAGAGGTCCAAGTTGAAGATGACAACCCAAGTTATGGGCCTGAGTGACAGGCGGGATAGTGGTATTACCCACAGTGATCAAGAAAGGGGGCCTGGGTGGGGGGAGATTAAGAGCTCTGTTTTAGCCATATTGAGCTTGGCAGCTAGACATCCATGAGGAAATGTCAGAGAGACAGGCCAAGATTTTAGTTTGGACAGAAGGAGACAGATCTGGAGTAGAGAGGTAGCTCTGTGACTTGTCAGCGTAGAAATGGTAGTTGAATTTGTGTTGGTGGAGGAGATTACCCAGAGATAAGGTACAAAGGGAGAAGAGAATGAAACCAAGAACAGAGCCCCGTGGAGCCCTCATGGAAAGCCAGAGGGGGGATCCACTGAAGGAGCAATTAAGAGAAGACCAAGTCACAGGAGCCAAGTGAGAACAAATTATCAAGAGCCTGGTTCACTGTGTTGAAGGCAGGGCCGGCTCCAGGCACCAGCTCAGCAAGCAGGTGCTTGGGGCGACCAAGGAGAGGGGGTGGCATGTCGGCGGTGGGTCCCTCGGTCCCTCTCAGAGGGAAGGACCTGCCGCCGAATTGCCGCCGAAGAAGAAAGCGGCGCAGTGGAGCTGCCGCCGAATGCGATCGCAGCTTCCCCCTCTCCCCCCCCCCCCCGCCGCTTGGGGCGGCAAAAACCCTGGAGCCGGCCCTGGTTGAAGGTGGCTGGTAGGTCAAGAAGGATGAGGATGGAGTACTGGTTTTGAGCCTTGGCTAGGAAGAAGTGTTTAGAAATTTTGGTGAGAGCAGTTTCAGTGGAGTGCAAGGCGCGGAAGCAGGATTGGAGAGAGTCTAGGCAGGAACTGGGAGAGAGGACCTCCAGACTGTGATTGTAAGTAGTGCAGTCAATGATCTTAGAGATGAAAGGGAGAAGGGGGGCAGTAATCGGAGAGGCAAGTGGGATCAAGGGTGGGGGGTTTTTTAAAGAGAGGAGAGACTAAACCATGCTTGTATTGTGAAGAGAAAAATCCAGAAGTGATTGAGAGGTTAAGGAGAAGAGTAAGGGAGGGGATGAGAGTAGGCATGAAGGAGATCAGGAGATGGATGGGGTCTCTCAGGCAAGTGGAGGGGTTAGAGGAGGAGAGCAGATAAGAAACTTCTGAATCGATGACAATGGAGAAGAGAATCAAAGCAAGGGGAAGAGAAGGCAAGACACTGCTTTTTATTTTGCCTTTCTAAGCCACGTCCTGTGACAGATTACTCAGTGCTAAAGAAATCTCTGTAATTTGAGGGTTTGTATCTTTGCTATAATGGCCTACGATGCTTTGCAGTCATTCACAGGGGTGCAGGAATTCCATGCCTGATGGTGCTCTGTCTGCTGTTTCTTGTTCAGGCAAAGTGTCGATATGGGCCTTTTGGTTTCATCTCTTTTCTGCTCATTGTTTTAGCTGATTTCTCTTCCATTTTTGCCATCAAGACTCTAGATTTAGACCTTTCCCCCCTGCATTTTCAAAGTTTTTCTCAAATAAATCTGAGTGAAAGGGGTCGCAGCTGGTGGGGTGTGCAGAATCCCTATTTCCACAGCTTTGTGGGACGTACTAGTATCTCCTGCTACTAGCACGTCACTGATCATGAGTGAAAATTAGAGGAGAGGCATTTGAGAATAAACTATTGTTCTCAGGCTCTGGATAAACTAGTGGAAATTGTCTATATAATGCAGCCAGAGGTGAGAAAAGGGTGCTGTCAAGTTCCCCTTTATCATCAGAAACAATTTTTTTCCTCTCAGACTGGCATACAGACAGAGAGGTGCCTCCTTTCTGAAGACAGAGGATGCATTTTCAGAGGGGTGTGTGGAAATTTGGCCATGTCAATCCTATCAGTTTAATGCCCTCTGCAAGGCTTTGAAAGTTTACCCCAGGGAGCATGACTACAACTACTAAAGTACAGAAAACAAAAGATAAACATGATCAAAGCATAACAAAGTGTAAATCTAAATCAACCAAGTGATTTCCAGCACTGACAACAACCTAAATGATGTAGCCTGATTAAAAAATAAAATATGGAAGAAAAACATATGAAATGCCTTATAATTGTGAGTAACATCCTCATCCCCCAAATGACTTATTTCACAATGAGCAATTTGTTACAAGAGACCGTTTGCTTTGCTAACCAAAGGATGTAATACAGATACAACTTACCCCTTTCCTTGTTTGTTTGGCATTACTAGGCTTTCCAGCAACGATCCCAGAGGTGTTCCCAATTGGTTTTTCAGCAGGAAGAGGTGGAGGGATATTTGGAACTTCATTTAAAGCTGGAGAAGTGTTAAATTGTAAATCTAATAAGTTCTTTGTAGGGACCAAAAGGGAGTGTAAAAAAGATAGATATTAACAATCAAAATGGATCCCCAACACCTCTTGGTGAACACAACTCCCTTAGCCTGTGCTGGTAGGATATGAGCAGGAGTACTGGAAAATACTAAGGAGATGCATAGGACATGTCCCCATTTTGAGGAACATTGTAGGAGTACTTTCCTTATTGCGTAACCAATCTTCCTTTAAATCCAAGGACACTGGCTTTTTCCTCAGCTGTTCAAGTACAGTGAGGTTAGGGCAGTCTGGACAGAGTCTAGTGTGATAGAAGAGAGAGAGCAGGAGTGAAGAGAGGCAGGTATGGTTGGAGGGGTTCATCTCTAGTCCATCAATAAAAGCCACTAAAAAGAATTTAATGATTCCACACCATTGGCTTTAAATGCACTCTCTGACTGAAATCTGTTAAATGTTTGCATAAATTCTGCCAATATACTTATCCGTAATGCGTCTGTACGGACTGGGACATTTTTCAACCTATTTTACAGGGTATTTGTGTATTCAAATGACGCACCTAACAAAATCTGAGGCACTTCTTTAAATCTGCTGGGCTTCTACCCATGCTCAGAATCATGTAAAAAATGCTTATTGTCAGCCTAGACAGTCTAAACATTTAAAATTGTTTAAAATTATTTTTAAAAAGACCAAGTGAGAAGTTACCATCCAAATGAAGGCCTAGAGTCTTATCTTATGAATCAGCTGCTCACTGCATGAAGGGAGCTCTCAGGAGAGAATGTGGAGTTATTTTATTTAGCATAGAACATTTAATTGTATCTCAGTGACCTGAAAGTCTGGATTGGAATTTAAAAAAACCAAACAAAAAACCCCAAAGGCGAATCCATCCCTTAGACACTGAGTATTTGGAGACTGAGCCAAGAAGAGGTAAGTTAATAAAGCTTTCTTGCTTATCTAAGCCAATGTGATGGGGACTAAAAGAAGGATTAACTGCAAGAGAGAAATCTCTCCTTAACATACCTCACTGATTTAAAAAGAGCATTAGAGATTTATTTTTACACACCTCCTTCAAATCCTGATACAGATGGCCTAGTTTTCCACTCACATCCCTTCCACAAACAATATTGCCAACCCTAAGAGTTCAAAAATCAGAAGACAGGTGATCATCTCTGTTCCTTCTCAGGTTTTACACTTGAGGGGAGCAGCTTTAACTCCCAATTGGACCTCCACAGAAACTCAGTTACTGGGAGTTGCTGAAGGGAGGTGCTGAATCAGTAAGTTCCTAAGCACCTGACCCTTTCCTTTTTTTGAAAGCGCTATTCATTTGTTGTGCTGTGTTGGCTCCCTACAGGAGCCATCTCCCTCTATAGCAAGTGGGGCAGAGGTCACCTTGAACCACTGTTGCCTGATCTTTTTTGGTGGCAGGGCCCTCCAACGAGGTTTAGCCCAGCCCAATCTCCTCATGACGACAAGGCCTTTGTGTAGCTACAACTGAGTCAGACTGAAACCCATGACAGCCTAGGGCAGGGGTAGGCAACCTATGGCACGTGTGCCGAAGGCGGCACGTGAGCCGATTTTCAGTGGCACTCGCACTGCCTTGGTCTTGGCCACCGGTCTACATTTTAATTTAATTTTAAATGAAATGAAGCTTCTTAAAACATTTTAAAAACCTTATTTACTTTACATACAGTAATAGTTTAGTTATATATTATAGACTTAGAGAAAGAGATCTTCTAAAAATGTTAAAATGTATTACTGGCACGCGAAACCTTAAATTAGAGTGAATAAATGAAGACTCGGCACACCACTTCTGAAAGGTTGCCGACCCCTGGCCTAGGGTTTGTTTGGATTTTTTGTCTCCTCCTTCTGAAGCATCAGGGATGGCCACAGCTGGAGATGGGTCACTGGAAGGTGTGGGCTCTGAGGTGATACTGAGAATTCTCTCTTCTGGGAGCATGGCTGACTGTTCACATGCTCAGAGTCTAATTTATCGTCATATGTGAGGTGAGGAAGGAATTTTTTCTCAGGTCAGACTGGCAGGGATCTTGGGGAGACGGAAGGAAGGGGTTTGCCTTTCTCTGCAGCATGTGGGCACAGGTCATTTGCCAGGGTTATCTGGGTATTATCTCACTAAATCAATTCTCTGACATTGGTGCTCCTCAGTCCCTCCTGTTCTTTCCCAGTGGCACATAACAGTTTAGTCTCCTGAAGGCTGTAATACTTCGTTCCAAATTTGGTTGGGCTTGGCATAGGGGTGGCTGAGTAGCATTGGTGGCCTGGTCAGAACGGATGATCTGGTGGTCCCTTTTGGCCTTAAGCTCTATGACTCTAAGGCTACATCTACACTATGAGCTAGGGGTGTGATTCCCAGCTCATGTATACATATAAATAGCAGTATAGCCACAATAGCATGGGTAGTGGCAGCAGAGACATGGCTTAGCCATGCTGAGTACGTACTCACCAGCTTCAGGTGGGTTTGTACTCGGCGTGGCTAAGCCGCGCCTCTGCTACTGCTACCTGTGCTATCACAGCTATACTACTACTTATACTCGTGCTAGCTCAAGGAGAGCTAGCATGAGCATGTGTATATGAGCAGGGGAAATCACACTCCTAACTCACGGTGTGGATGTAGCCTTAGGTTTTGCAACAGCTCACATTTGACAATAGGGATAGTTGGCTCCACTCTGGGATCTGAAGAGCTTCACAGGCCACTCTGCTTACTGGGAACCCCACTTTCCCCCTTTACCTCCATCTCTTTCCCAGTTGCAGTCTCTCGCTGAGTGGATCTTCACACCCCTCTACCAACTGACAGAACATGACTGAAGCCCCTTGAGGGCAGTTCAGTTGCCACTAGAGAGCAGCAAGAGACTGTATTATTTGTCTTGCAGCTAAAGAAAAAAAATAATGTCTGGACATGCATATTAACAATCGAGACCTGAGAATTACACTGGGAAGGTGGAACACACTTATCTGCCTTCATTAGACAGACTCTTACAGCTGAGGGTACATGTGATTGTGCAAACCAAAAAGGTTATTACAAATTTTGATATAGATTTTTTTTTACAACTTTTCTCTGTATTTTTCTAACTATTTCCACTGCATTTCTTACCTACAAAACTACAGTTTCTATGGAAAATTAAACACTCTTCTAGAAGTAGGGATGTAAATGTAAGGAGAGGCTAAAACACTACCAGCAGGACACTCTGCTACTACAAATTTGACATAGTGTAGAAGTATGTGGATTTTTAGATGCTTTTAATAATCGCCTCTTCGGTTATTTCTCTCTTTTGCTTGTATTTTTGGGTGCATCTACTAGGGATGTGATGATTCCTCTGTTTTGGGAAGCAACCCCAGGGTGAAAATTTGTAGTTTACTAAATCTGAATCTTGGCAACATGCAATAAAACACTCAATAGATAGAAGATTTCAACACCAAGACGTCTAATGCTTCTCCTCTGCAGCTTTCCAGCTTTGTGAGAGCTAATCAGTGTCAGCTCTTGGTGGCATGGGTTGGGAGATGGAAGACATTGTGGTTAATGGTCAAGATGGGACCAAAAGGCCACATTTCGTATCCAAGGTTTATGGTGCTATTTTTTTTTTTAATTTCTAAAAACACCAGCAAAACGCCAGTACTTGAACAGCTGTGGATTTTAGAGCCAAAATAATTTCATCCCTGTCAATATTAAGCAATGAAGTCATGTTTACATCTTTCTAGAAAACTAACAAACAGTTTAATACAAAAGGTGTGAGCTTCCATAGGAGCGTCTACATTTGGTAGAGAAACAAATTTAGCACCTTTGTATTAAACTATTCTTTAATTACAGGTTTCAGAGTAGCAGCCATGTTAGTCTGTATCCGCAAAAAGAACAGGAGTACTTGTGGCACCTTAGAGACTAACAAATTTATTAGAGCATAAGCTTTCATGGGCTACAACCCACTTCTTCCTTTTCATTTTTTTTTTTCTGTACGAGTTTTTTCATGAAGTTGATGGATTTCCACTCCATACGGCTAAATGCAGTGCCAGTTGTACAGAGGAAGAAGTGGGTTGTAGCCCACGAAAGCTTATGCTCTAATAAATTTGTTAGTCTCTAAGGTGCCACAAGTACTCCTGTTCTTTAATTACAGTTTTCTAGAAAGATGTAAACATAGATTCATAGATTCTAGGACTGGAAGGGACCTCGAGAGGTCATCGAGTCCAGTCGCCTGCCCGCATGGCAGGACCAAATACTGTCTAGACCATCCCTGATAG